ACACTTTTCTCCAACAAAAACCCCGATCATCTTTCAAGTCTTGCTGCAGACATCACCTTCTCCAGGGAGCTTGCCCTGATCCCTAATTTGGAAATAGAGTCTTCCCAGGTGATCCCTGAACACCCTGTACTTTGCCAATTGAGTTTTATTGTACCTGTCCTGTTATCTGTCTGTGTGCCCTGAAAAGCTAAAAACAATGGCATAGACGTATCTGATAAATAACAAATACTTAGTGCCTAGCATATAGTAGGTACTCAAGGTATTCTCAAATGTGAATTTAACTGTGAGAGCCCAGGAATCACTTTTTGCAGGATAAGCCTTTGTTATCTACTCAGAGCAGCTTTTTGAAGACCACTGTTGAGCAGTAATACATTTACTACTCTAGCTTGAAACGCTCTCCATACTTGAAAGAAACAACTCTCATTTCTTCAAAGCAATTCTGTAATTTAGGTGTCTCACTGACTTAGATCCACATTATCACCACTGATTCATAATTGCAAAGCTGTTATTGTGCTGATATTTTGAGACGGAGTGTCACTCTGTTGCCCAGACTGGAGTCTCAGCTCACTGCAAGGTCTGCCTCCCAGGTTCACATCATTCTCCTGCCTCAGCATCCTGAGTAGGTGGGACTACAGGCGCCCGCCACCATGTCCAGCTAATTTTTTTTTGTATTTCTTAGTAGAGGTGGGGTTTCACTGTGTTAGCCAGAATGGTCTTCAACTCCTGACCCTCGTGATCCACCCGCCTCGGCCTCCCAAAGCGCTGGGATTAACGGCACAAGCCACCGCGCCTGGTCGATTATTCAAACATATTATTATATGATTTACATAGAAGGCACATTTATCAGTTTATCCAATCCTTTTTTTTTTTTGGAAGGAGGAGTTTCCCTCTTGTTGCCCAGCTGGAGTGCAGTGGCACGATCTTGGCTCAACGTAACCTCTGCCTCCCAGGTTCAAGCCTCCCAAGTAGCTGGGATTATAGGCATGTGACATCACGTCCAGCTAATTTTGTATTTTTAGTAGAGGCAGGGTTTCTCCATGTTGGTTGGGCTGGTCTCGAACTCCCGACCTCAGGTGATCCGCCCGCCTTGGCCTCCCAAAGTGCTGGGGTTACAGGCATGAGCCACTGTACCCAGCCTCAGTTTATTCAGTGCTTAAGAAAAGTATTTAATCCTTTGTTTGTTTTCTGATTTAGACCTTGAATGACACATATACAGAATATTACCTTAATCAAAATGTATTTGCTGCCAGTGGCCTTTAAGTTAGGCTAGAGAAAGCTTTCACCTTTATCGTAAGTTTCTTATTCACTGACAAGTCCAGATTAGCCTCTTAAAAAAACTAAAAATCAAATACATTTCAAATTTTGTCACAAATATCCCCCAAAAAATTGTCTTATATTCTTGAATGCACCAATGACTTCATTTCTCCTTCAAATAAGATTGAATCCGCATTTTAAAAGTTGTAACAGTCCATGATCTAACAACCACAATAAATCTACCATTTAACATGTTTTTCTGATTTGGCTGAAGCCTGCAGATCAAGTCAAGAGGGAAAGATCCGGGGCTTTCATTGCCAAGTGATGGCTGTGGCCACTCTGATTTCCCATGGACTTGGAGGAGGTTCAAGTCCGCAACTTGTTCCATAATTGCTTCTAGCAGGCTTCTCCCTAAGCATCAAGGCCCTGGCTCATCAGTGATTTTTGCTGTTCAAAATGATAAAAACAAAATTCAAACGACACATCTAAGGAGGATTGGAACACTATGGACCCTCTTTTAAATATATTCCCTCTTTTTTACAGATATCTTCATATATGAAAGCTTATGATCTGTAGGGGAGATATTAGAAATATATCATACAAAGCAGAGTGTCAGGAGGCTTGAAAGGGACAGAGAACTAACTATTATTACCATGAGACACTGCTGGGTTAGCAATTATTTTCCTTTCTCTCCTTAAAAACACACTTTCAATTTTTTTATTGGGTGCATTCCCATCCAGAAGAAAAAAAAATAACAAAAACAAAAACAAAAACAAACCACCTGTATTTCCCAGTTTCTCTTGCAGTTAAATGTGGCCAGGGAATGAATTTCTGATTAGTATGGTCTAAGGAAGAGTGTTGTATAGGACTTCTGGGAACACTCTTAAACAGAAGGAAGTGCATTCTTACTTCTTCCTTCCTCCTTGATGTTGCCTGGGATGTCACTGGGAGGCTGGCGTTAAAACAGTGGTTTTGTTTCACGAGTTGAGAGTGATGGGACAGCAAAACAGCAGGGCCTGCATTCCTTTTGAATGGAGAGTCCAGGTAGCCTTGATGGTCAGCCTTCACAGTGACCAACCAACCAATGAACAGCCAACCAACAAACAAAAAAATTCTTTTTCAGCCACTTTAACTTTCAAAATTTTACTTACAACATGATCTCATTCTTAGAGATCAGTATATGTATATGTACAAATATCAGGCTAAATACTGATTTTACGGTGACTATGTAAGGAAGGATATATTATCTCTATATTACGGAAGAGGAAACGAAGGTTCAGAGGTATTACATAGCTGATCTAATGACACTAAATTGTGTTCAAAAATCTTTGAACACAAAAATGTCAGCAGTTATAAAGGAAGAGTTAACTTCCAGCATAGTCAAAATTAAATAGCTTGTGCCACAAATCTGTACTTGCATTAAGTATAGGTTAAAGTATTAAGTGGCTAAATCAGAAATTCCAGGTTAGATCCTGGAACTTATACATTTTTACCAGCACCATCACTATACAATGTGGATATAAATCTCTCCTTGTGTATCGCTAGCTAAATTTCTTAATCCTTTTATCCCCTTTAAAAATTAAGATTAAAAGCCTCTACCTACTATATTTGCTACTGTGCGACAAGTTGATTTAGTATTGTACAAAGCATTGATGTCCACGGGAAATAATCTCTATTTAATTCATGTATATTATTGAATCAATTAAAAAAATTTTGAAAACAAAAATGTCAGCAGTTCCATATGAAGAGTTAACTTCCAGCATAGCCAATATTAACTAGTTTGTGCCACAAGCCCGTAGTTGTTTAAACCGGCTTACAAAATCAAACTGCAAATCACTAATTAACCTCCTGTTCCAGAAATCTATTCTGTGCAGCCTAGCATTTGGCTGGATTGTGTCAAACCACTCAGTTCACAATTTTATCTTGTCATCCTGCTGTGTCTGCCTTTTAATGAAGGTATCTTTGGTTAAATACTGGAGGAACTACAGATTGTGCTGTTCTAACCAACTTGTCTAAATATACCTTTGGGCCTATAATCTAAAAGCCGTTCAACCTGGTCATGTGCCATCTGATGCTGTGATTTTAGAAAAGCAAATCCACATTTCTTGGCCTAAGGTTTTATTGTTTGTTTGTTTTCCTTTCATTTCCAAAGTAATAATTTGGACTCTATGACTTCAACGGCTGAGACCACCTAAAAGATTCTGGGCTCCCTGTACAAAATGTGGTTCTGATAAAGCTTAATGGTTATGTCCCAGAGTCAAACAGAATGGCTCCCAATCCTGGCTATGTGACTTCAGACAAATTAATTCCGCTAAGTTTCCATTTTCTCATTACCTGCAGAAATATTTCAAGGTGATAATTCACGTAGTGTTCTGTGTTAAGTTTCCTATTGCTGTTATAAATGACCACAAACCTGATGGCCTAAAACAACATCAATTTGTTCTCTTACAGTTCTGGAGGTCAGAAGTCCAGTATATGTCTCACTGTGCTAAAATCAAGATTCAGAAGGGCTGCATTCCTTCCGAATCTGGAATCATTTTGTGCTCATTCAGGTTGCTGGTGGAATTCAGCCTCTTGTGGTCATGGAACTGAAGTCCCTATTTTCTGGCTCCTTCCCCCATCTTCACAGCCAGCAACAGTCATCAGGGTCTTTCTCAGGCTTCAGGTCTCTCCTGCCCCTTCTGTGATTATCACAGCTCTCTGACCAATCCTTCCACCTTCCTCTTCCTCTCCTAAGGGCTCAGGTGATGACTTTGGGCCCATCCAGATATTCCAGGATAATCTCCTTATTTTAAAGTCAACTGATATGACTTCAGTTCCATCCTTAATTCTACCTGCAAATTTAATTACCTTTTGCCATGTAATATAACACAGTAACAGTTTTCCAGGATAAGGAGAGGGATGCTTTGGGGCCAATTATTCTGCTTATCACAAGCTCTGAGCATAATCCCTGGCAATAAATACTCAATAAATTGTAATAATAAATAATAAATAAATAGTAAATTTATAATAGATAAGCAGCAGTAATAACCAATACTTATGCTTACTTTCTGGCAGGTATCTACCTAAGTGCTTTATTAATATTTATGTACTTCATCCACATAACAATTCTTGACATTAGGCGTGAACTATTATCATTCCCACTAACAAATAAGGGAATGAGGCACAGGAAGATTAGGTCACAGTATTGAGCAAGTAAAGGCAAAAATGAAGATTTGAAACCAGGTGGTCTAGCTCCAGAATCTGTGCTTTTCACTAAGCCCATCCTGCTTCTTCATCTCAATGTTATAATTATAACCAGGAAACCAGGGACGCCTTTGCTTAAACTAAATACCAGTAGTGCAAAATTATTTGAGTGCAGGATAACAGCAATATTTGTATTTCTTTGGCATGTGCTGTTATTATACATCCTTCTCTTCTTTGTCCTGGGATGTGGGTCTGCTTCTGGGACCGACATTCCTTCATCATTCTGGTTGAGTCTTCCCAGTGATTCAGGAAGAAAATTCTTGTTAAAAAAAAGTATTCTACGTGGGAAGAACTTAGATATATTTTCTGTGTTTCGATTTCAAAAAACTGAATACTCTTACAAAGGTATTAAAGAACAAAAATGCCACTATTTTAGTTCTTAAAGAACTCCCATGCTACTGAAATGCTATTTGGTTTCATTTCATATTTAAAACCTATGTTGACATCAGCATGGAAAGTGAGAGGAAAGTAAATGGCCGCTTTTCTGGACATCAGAATACCTTGCATGCTCCTGCACGCTCACGTCCCCCTTCTTCCAGGAAGAACGTGCCCTCGGGGAGGCTCTGGGTTTACAATCCAAGCTGACCAGGCTGCCCACCTGCACCTGAACCAACTTCTTCATTGGATTCTTTGAAAAATCCGGAGCAGAAGCTGAAAAGTGAGAAAGGAGAGGAGAAGTGGATCATTTACAAAATTTCCTGTCAATTGTAAAGGCCCATTTTTACAGTTTTAAAAGTTTTCTTTACATTCAGGGTGTCGGTGCTTGATTTACTTGGCTTACTGTGTGCCACACACAGGATAATTCATGCTATTATGTCTTCTAGCAAGTCTAAATCATGAGACAATTACTTTATACAGAGATTTTTAGTTTATGGTGAAGATTTAAAGTAGCTCAATCATGCGTTTATTAAATAAAAGGAAAACATTTGGTATAGAATGTTTTTAAATGTTAGCTCCACGAAGATAGGAATAGGGTTGTCTCTCTTGCTAACCTTTAGGACACAGCACTTGGTACACTCCCTAGCATTCAACAAAGCTCAGCAAAAGCTTTGAGAACAGAGGCCAAGCATTGAATTAATATTCTCATACATATGCATGTATCAAGTGCTATGATCAAATGTTCAAACTGTTAGGTTGAACTTCCAAACTGGGGAAAAATAATATTATCCACATATTATTTTAAATGCTATAATATTGCATGAAATATAATAATGTGTGGAAAATAATTACGTTTGCTAATAATTCATGGGATGTTAATCCTGAAACAACATTTGAACATTTAAGATACATAATATTGTATCATTTGAATGAAAGGGTATGTTAATTTAAAAAAATCACTCTTCCTTTTACTGTAAATGTGAAAAACGTTAAAAACCTAGTGCATTTTCCAAATAGCTAACGCTGTGTCTTATGGCAAATCCCAGTGAATATAATTTATTTATTTGATCAGTGGAAATCTTAGAGTGAATCATATTATGTAATTATATATGTGATTGTGGTAAAGAAAACATGGCATCCAGAGGTTGCTGGCCTTAAAAATTAAAATCCTAAAAGAGTGATTTTTGTTAAAACAAAAACTTGCTTATATTTGAGTACAATCTTTTGTTTACGCACCTCGTATTTTTTCATACACAACAATCCCACACGGTACACTGAGTAGGGTTCCACCCAATTTAAAGATTGATAAACTATGGCTCATTAGGTTAATTTATTACAATAGAATTGCAGTCTTTCAAGTTAAGACTTATATGCAAACTCCTCCCTCTTTTTGTCATAATATACTACTTCTCTGTCATGGATAACAGCAGCCAGATTTTCAGTTGATCATCCCTCCAGGCATCAGTCCTCCTGGTACAGATGATGCATTTCTAACTGCCAGGTACTAGAGATGAGAGAGCTACTTCCCATTAAACCAGGGTTTTTCAATCACTCTTGACATATAACATTTTGGGCTGGATAATTATTTTTTGTGAGAAGCTACTTTGTGCACTGTAGGATATTTAGCAGCCTATCTGTCCTTCAGCCACAAGATGCGAATACTACATACCGGTCCTCTACCTCCCACACCAACCAAAAATATCTCCAGACATTTCTAAATTTCCCTCAGGGCAAAATTGTCCCTGGTTGAGAAACACTGACTTAAATCATGCAGGGTCTTATCACTTGCTGACCATATGGATTGGTTCAGAAACAAGTATTAACCCAAATTAGGCTATCTGGGGCCAATGGCACGCAACACTTTGACTTCCCTTTGAGCAATTAAGACAGCCGTCTTTCTTCCACCGGAATGACTGTGGTAATAAATTCAATTTGTTGGGAAACATCATATAGAACCTGATAATGGTGATGATATTTGAACGCTGGACCAAATTATGCTGAAATCCAAATTCTCCATTTTAATAACATGGACAGATGAACAAGCCCTCCTGCTCCTCCTCCCTTCCTCCCTTCCTTCCATTCATTTGTGCTATGCTATACTATGACATGGCGTTTTGCTTGGATTTTCAATCATTTGCAATGTAAATGTTCTTCTGGACAATTGTTTTAAACATGACAGAAAATTTTCTTTTTCTCCTATACCTAAAGTACAAGAAGATCACCTACGATTTCAAGCAGTGGAGCCTTGGACAATGAAAGCCTCAATGTGTCCAATGTGTCATGCTTCTAACAGAGCCACTAAAGGCAAAGGCAACTCTTTTTGAATCAAATATGATTGACTTAAATTTTGGTATTTGCTATTAGGGACCGGCAACAGAGAACACCAAAATCACTTATTCTCCTAAAAGGCTTTGCTTAGTTGGTAATATTGGAGGTGGATAAGGATATCTTATGCCAATATTTGATTCCTACTGTAGATTTACTTAACCCTTGGTCCTCAATTCTGGCCATAGTTGCTGTTTTTCCTTAGAAACTGTTAAAAGGTATGCCTTGATTAGAAACTGAATGATCATGCTATAATACTGTAGATATTATTAGATGTAGGAACCTAACGTGAAAAGTAAGTATTACTGCTTCTGGAAACAATCAAGGATTGAAGACAAAAAATTAACAGGAGAACAGAGAAAATCAGTCTTACCAACAACTTTGAGCTCAGCACTGGAATAGACAAGGCCATGTTTGTTTTCTGCTATGCATTGGAACATGCCAGAATCAGTCACACTTAGGTTTGATATTGTAAGGGCACCATTTTCTATCTGTATTCTCTCCTAGATGATAATAAAAATGTCTTTCATATAAACAAACATATCACTTTAGAATAAAAATGAACTATCATTTCACTCATACACAAACTTCCTGCATTTTTCTGAGAATATTAGACAGGCTGGCTTGAAATTTAACCTTTTCCTTATTTTAAATGTGAAAGACTAATTTACATGATAGCTATGCATTAGAAGTACGAATTAACATCCTTGAGTCCAAAAGTATATCATAAAATAGATAACAAAGCAAGAGGTAAAATATGAAATCATTTTACTTTTCCCCCTACAGTTAAAGTTTCTTAAAAATGTACCATGACTTTAAAAAATGTTTTATGAGGTTGATTTTTATCCCATCAGCTGGAAATGTTTTCACTATGTTTTTTCAAATCATGCAAGTTAAAAACGTTATAAAATCTGTGGATTAGAAAGGTTTCTGGGAAACACATATATTTACCAGAGTTTCTAGGTAGTATAAAAGGTTAGGTATGGAAATTGAAAGAACATAATTGACTTAGTATACAAAAAAAGGGCATAAATTACATGGCTTGAGAATGAGAGTGATGGAGAAAATATGTACTTATGTAACAAGGTAACCAAGTAATAGATACATTCATTCTCCAGAGGCCACACCAAGTTGTAAACAGGAAAAGGAAATGATATCCTAAATTTGATTAAAGTAAGGCCTTCTCTAATTTCAATACCAAAAAAAACAGTAGATTACTTTACAGACTAAATTCACACCAGGACTTCTTCCCAGTGAAATGCCATGCTGAAAAGCTCTCCTCACTGGCAGACTGGGTACTTGATTTGATATTTTTCATCCTCTACCACTGCTTAGAAGTAAAGGAAAGTGTGTAAACTCAACAGTTTATTTTGGTACTAGGGACTAAAGAAAGCATCTACTAAACACAAAGTGAGGAAAGGGTGGATTTACCAGGCCTCTAAATCCATTTTCGATCCATGTGACCTTACCTCTAGCACTAAGGCTGCTCCATTTTTCAGCCATCGGTAGGAGGGCTTGGGCTTGCCACTCGCCCTACATTCCCAATAAAGACTGTCCTCCACGGCTGTCTCCACATCCTTTATGAGTTGAACCCAATGGGGCTTTGCTTCAATGAAAGAAAAAGGAGAAGAAAAGAAATTGTAAACACCCGGCAAATAAAGTGTATTTATTGTTTTATTATCTTATCTGGATTAACAGAAATGGACATGACTATGAGTAACAGATTGAAGTGAGAACAGAGGCTAGAATTATATTTCATTCACTAAGTAGCTACTCAGTGAATGTATGAAACATTTCTACATTTGAGGATGGATGTTGCAATCTGTTATTTCCTAAGGCAAATTAATTATATGCTTTCTCTATTATCAAAATTCTGAGCACTGTATTATATTATTTAGATATCTATTAGTAGACGGTAATACAGGTACACAAAACTGATTTTGCTTTCCAAGTGCAGCTTCGAATCATGAGATCACAACTGATGATAACTTAATAAGTGAATAACAGCATACATTGTTCTTAATTATGAACTAAAAATTAACATCCATAGGAGAGAAACTTCTATAGCTGAGAAAAAAATATTTTCCACAAGTTAGAAATAACTTAATTAAATACAAACCAGTGAGTATCTTAAGAACCTCTGAGTGAATTAAGATCAAAGCAGGAAAAGATGGATAAGTTGGTTCAACTTGAGTCATGTGATTTTTTGCCAGAAAAAGAAGTAACCGATGCAACTTTAAATTATGTATGCAAATAAGTTCCATCAAGTGGATTTATCATTTTCAACTTATGCTTTAGAGGGTATTTGGAAAATTCATTTTACAGATGAAAGCATTGTACCACTTACAATGAAAGTCACTTACTGTACGCAGTATATCCAGCCAAGTCTCAGCTTGTGTTTTAAATCCAAAACTGGGAGGTGAGATGTCTTACTGGTTTCACATTGCATTATGTATGTGATGTGTACTGTGGGATTCACATTTGCATCCTCCATATGGAGAAACAGTTTATCTATTTCCATTTAATTGCAACCATGGGAAGATTTGTCTTTCCATTTCTAGCTCATAAAATTGTTATTTTATAAATGAAATTGAAATGAAACTATGGCTATTTAGCTTTTACAGAAAATGTACAGGTCTAAGTTTTCTCTTTTTGTGTGTGTGTGTGTGTGTGTGTGTGTATATATATACACACACACATACATACAACTTGCTCAGTATGAAGTGTAGTTCAGTACCAAATCACTTCCCTCTATATTAAAACACATTTTCTTTTTCTTTCAGGAATGATCAGCCTGAGAGGGAATATGACTGTGAACAGACTCACAGATCAGCCTCTTATAGAGACCCAAGTTTCTAAAAAAAAAAAAAAAAAAAAAAAAAAAATCCCACAAGCTTCCCATAGTAATACTCTTCTTCTCCAAATGGGAGGATAATTTGCTGGACTAAAAAATCCTGAAATCATAACTGCCACATCAATTCTGATTTTTCCCCTTATTCCATCATATGAGATGTAAACATTCTATAGACTATTTTTCACATGAAATATTAGAGCAGATAACCGGAGAACTGCATGACATCTACTTAATATACTAATGTTAAACAGAAATTGCAAGGCAACTTTCATGAAATGCTTTATGGCATTAATTTCTGATTTATATTTTAGGTATGTATCATATTACCTACACAATGGACTAAAGCAATAGTCTGCCTCTTTTACTAAGTATAGCAGACACTGTTGGTTTTCTATTGTGCATTCATTTCCTCTCTTCCTTATTCCTAAAATAACCCCAATTGTTCATTCAGTTGTCTACTCTTCCATCACCTCACATTGTCTATAGAAACATGACATTTTTCTCTATTCCAAGTGAAGCACTTAATTGTCTAATCTAATTTCTCCTTGCCAGTGACTGGTTTAGGAATAAAAACGTAGCCAGTGAGGTTTGAGCAGGGGACTTCTAGATGTTTCGGAGAAAGGAAGGATGAGTAGCAACTGATGTGTTAGTCACTACTGGCAGCCATTTTGTGATCATAATGGAAACTAACATGCAGAAAAAGGAAAAAAAAAATAGACAAGGGCAGAAAAACTAATCACAAAGAAACTGGGTTGTGGCCTGATAAGGTAATTAAATGATAATTTAGCTTTGGATTTCCTTATCATATGAAGCATACAATTGTTTATTAGTATACAGCTAAAAATATTTTCACTGAAACATTAATACAGTTGGAATGTCCTGTGTGTTCCCATAATGGTCACTTCTTATCCTAGATCATGTAGTGGTTGCGCAGAAAGAAGGTACTAAGCTAGAGTATGAGAAAAGGTTACTTGGCTTAGTCAGGGTCTTAGAGCTTTCCTTACCCAAATTGAGCAGTACATCAAAAAAAAGTGATTACAAATTAAAGGCAGCAAACAGAGTACAGATACATTTTTGGAAGGGATAGAGTAACACTGAAGAACTCAACAGGAGCCAGAGTTCATGCGGTTTGTTTAATACAGTAATTGCAACTTTTCCCAAAAGGCAGTTTTTTTTTTTCTCTTTAGTAGAGGTAACAAAAAAGATACAAAACCTGTTTTCTAGAGGAGAAGACAGACAGAAAAGAGATCTCTCTCTAATGTGTTTAAGTGTGTGAGAGGTTATTCTTAGGAAAAAAATATGAAATATTTCATCTTTGCATGAATCATCTTAAAATGCAAAATAAGTATATATTCAACTTCATTACAAAAATTTATTTCTTTTTAATACCCCCTATGATAAATGTTTATCAACACTTAACAAAATGTTGAACAAAATGTTTAGCCAACAAGTTGAACATTGGGATTCTGCTATAATCTCTCACCCCTAAACAACAACAATATTTTATAGATGAGAAAGTAAAAGCTAAAACTCCAATTTGCCCAAAGCAGATGCTCACCATAGTAAGTGAGACGCCCTCTAGCAACATTTTTTCCTCGAGAATTCTCAGCAATGCATTCATAGGAACCTGCATCTTCCTGTTGGAAGTTGGGGATTTCAAGCACACCATTGAACTTCCTTAATTTAATTTTGCTGGAAAATGGCAGTCCATCACTTCTTCTCCAATTAATCTGAGGTATGGGACTAAGAAGAAAATTGTCAAGTTGTTTGCTGTTGTCTGGAAGCCTTTTCGACTTGAGAAAGTAAAGCTTTTAAGATTGAACAAGAAGGCACAGGATTTTAAATGCAGAAAACCACTTCCAACAGTCAATTATATAAACCGGATAAAAGGATTTAACAACTCTTTAAGTTGATATTTTAATAAAATAAACTTCATTTTTCTTGAGTCAATTCATGATTTCGAGAAAAAAGCCTAATACAGACCCACTATATTAGATTACAGCAAATGAATAAGGGGGAAAAAAAACCCCACCAATTTATTTTATGAAATTAGGCAGGCAGAGTAATTTTCTTCAAATCGACTTTAAATATTAAAGTTTCAACTAAGTTTTATATGTGCATTTCCCCTGCATTTTATTTTTCCTTTGCCTCAAAATGAAAGTAAATTTTAGAAAATAAAAAAGAAGAGTCTTTCAAAAACCATTCTGATTTCTTATAGCAACCTAATATTTCAGCACATAGGAGTAAATGTTATAAAACTTACTTTCCAAGGGCAAAACATTCCAATTTCACAGTCGAACCTTTAGCTGCTGGAAGAGTTTCTGGAAACTGAACTTCTATTTTAGGTTCATATTCACCCATCACACCTATAAATCCATAATATAAAGTTAATCGTTTCAACATTTCCTTTGGAATTGCCTCATTTTACTTAAATAAAACTTTCTTTTGCTCCATTTTGAACCAGCTCTTCTAGTGATTTCAATTAAATAAAATTTAGTCTATGCAGCTCAGATTCCCTTTTAACAGCCATCAAGTTGTTGATGAAACAGATTTTTTTCTTTAATGACTTTTTAGTGGTGCTTTTTAGCCTATAAGAAAATATCCAGAGCTTTAAAAAACCTGAACTAACTTGGGTCAAACATGCAATATTAATAAACATTTAAGGACTTTGGATTTGCTGATTCATAGGTTACCACGTACAGAGCAGTTCCAAGAAAACCACTAAGTCTTTTATATTACACAAAATGGGAGGCTTTGAAATTGTGTATTCAATTTTGACATTGCTAGTCAAACTGAAATATATAATATATTATTGCTTCCTGAAATTTCCCTAAAGAACAAAAATTATGGCAGGGAATTTACTTAATGATACCGTGGTAGCAGAGATACCAATCTTAAACTTATTAAATGGCTCCCTGGAGTTAAGAAACAATGACTTAATAAATGGGAAAGGTCAAATTCAATTATAACTGACTGGAAAAAGTGCTTCAATGCTTTGTGATCATAGCATTATGCTATATCAGATATGGTTCTGTGTAAGTGGGTCAACTACCCAGGCTTATGGATCTGCTTCCTCGGCAGCTCATAGACTCCCCTTAAACAGCCATCAAGGTGTTGATGAAACAGATTTTTTTCTTTAATGGTTTTTTTAGTGATGCTTTTTAGCCTATTACAAAATATCCAGAGCTTTAAAAACCTCAAGCTGGCAAAGGTCAGGATAGGTGACTTCATGGGAGTCAACCTGAGCCCTGGACTCAGAAGGGTCTCATGCTTGGTTTAATACTTTGCCATTGCTGTCTTAAAATTCTTAATGACTTCTGAACAAGGGGCCACTCATTTTTATTTTGCACTGGTCCCTGCAAATTATGAAGCTTGCCCTAGGTAAGAATTATGCATAAGGACCTATGATTTATCAAATCATTTTTGTCATTATACTCATAAAATAGTCTTTGTGCCAAAAAACATGAAGTGACAATTCTTCTCAATGTACTTTATACATTTTTCCAATTGCTTTTGTTTGCAGCCTCAGCACCATTTGCACTCAGACTTGCACTTGGAGAAGTTTCATTACCATCAGAACGTAGCACCAAAGGAGTTGGAGAGCCCAGCACTCGGGCATTTGTCACCATACTTGTCACCACACATGTGTAATTTCCCACATCCGACGGCTCCACCTTAGATATGTAGAGGTGTCCTGTCTCCTGAGAGACAAATCTCCGACTATCTTCTTCAACAAACGATGGGTATTCATTGAAGATCCAAGCATATGACAGTTCTAATAAAATTGTTGAAGAGAGAAAGAAATTCCATCATTAAGGACAGTTTTCCATTGTGTCCTTAATGTATCTATACAAACATCAACTTTACTTCCAAGCAGTGCTGAGTGTTTTTGTTGCAGGCCATGAAGAGAAGCAGTTAAGTGAAATAACTCTCCATGTATTCTTTATTATTATGGAGGATACCGTTGATTAGTATCCTGGCGGGAGCAATATTATTTACTGTCATCACATCTCTGCTTCAGACACCTTCTAACAAGCTTCTCCGGTCTTGCTCAGTTTTAATTCATATCTCCATCCTGCCTGTACCATGATATCTCAAAATTAACAATCTAATCATGTCAATTCCTGACATCAAACTTTGCAAAGTTCTTTAACCTCTCAGGCATAATGCAAAATTGCTTAACCTGAATATGAGGTCCTTCATGGTTAAGGTCCTTCTCAAAACCTTAGCCTCTGAGAAGCCCCATGCTCTCTTTGGTCCCTGAGTCTTTTGCACATGCTGCTTCTGGGGCCTACAACTCCTGTTGTCTCTGTCCTGTCTTTGGCTTTCTGACTTTCAACACCAACTGAAATCTTTGAGATAACCTTCAAATGTTTTTCAAAGCTTGGTTCCAACATCAGGAATCACCTCCTCAAGTGAACTCTTCCTTAATCCTCCTTCTCTGGGTTGATGCTCCTATACAGAGTAATTCTAAGCTTATTTCAACTAAAACACTTATCAGTATGTAACATTCTACTTACTTGTCTGTCCTCCTATCACTTGTTAAACAAGCGATGTTAGTTTTTATTTCACCTGCCCTTCTCCCTCCTCCAAATTAGCAAAATGAAACACCCAAAGGCATTTAGTAGGTCCTCAATAAAGATTCATTTAGTTAGTTAAGGACACAATTATGCTACTGACTAACATCTACGTAAAGTACAGTATGAGAGTTTTCTTGAAGTTTACAGCCAAGGTGAATCAACTTTCTGCAAACGAACCATTGTTTTTTTTTTTTTTTTTTTTTTTTTTTTGTGATAACGAGGACTAGATAATAATATGCCACTTTGTTCTGGAGGCCCAGGTTGTTCAGCGCCAAGTTGAGATCTAAGCACAGTTACCGTGGTTGGTTTATTGGCTTCCTGCTTTCCTGAGCCCTATTATCTCTTGGTTGCATTAACTCTACTGTATTGATTCATTACTGTAGTGCTTTCCCAAGAGTTTAAAAAAAAAAAAAACTTTTGGAAAACATGGAATCAAAATAAATTTAATGAATAACACGTTCAAATACATTTAGGAGATAATTCTCATGGTGAAGGTCTTTCTTTTTGATAAAGGGAATAGTGCTAAGGACCTAGAAGAAATAAAACATGATGACTGATTCCCAATCACAATGCAGTGCAAATGCTTGATGTTTCCAAAAAGTAGCAAGCCAATTGCAAATTATACAGACATCCAGAAACACTGGTTTTAACCTCACACTGATTTTTAAATCATGCTGTCATATTGGTATAATGGTTCATGAAATTTCAGTTAGTCATGTGGTAAGTTGTGAGCTCTAAAATCACTTATTGGGTTGTATGAAGCAAATGTATCTCAAACATTAACTCTATGGTTATTCTCATGCCTACCCTGATGATGCTTTTCTCTTGCAATAGTATTGAATAAACCATAGAGGAAAATAATACTAGCAAGGTAAGTTGAGTTTGCTCTGCAGTTGTTAAAACTGGCAGCTGCAGTAGCAAGAGCCCTTCAGGGTCTTCCTGCTGCTCTTAAGCATCCGTTTCCACCTCAACATTCCCCAACTCCTGCAACCTCACTTTGCAGTAAAGGAGGGAAAGCAATCTTTCTCTGCTTTCCAAAGTGTTCTACACATGAAACTAACAAGGTTGTTGTTCTCCCTTTTATCCAGCCAGATATCAACTGCTCTCCAATACAGTAGGCCTTAGCAGGGCATTAGGGATAAAAAGTCAATCCTATTAACCCAGTTTATACTTAAAAAAAGGCTGATAAAAAGAACTCTGATTCAGAGTCAGAAAACCTAAAATCTGGTGAATTCATGCAAGATAATATCATACAGTAATGAGAATGTATGAACAATAACTCCACGCAACACTTGGAAAAAATATCACAAATATAATTCTGATTGAAAATGTTCAACTCAAAATATTTGCATAACTCCCTTTATAATGTGTATTTTAATCCAAAGGTTAATATTATCAATACTTAAAACGTTATTATATTGTTATAGAGATATTGTGGTGGCTTTGCCTATATGACACAATAACTGATTGGTAGGAGAAGGAAGGAAGCCAAAATTAAAATCATTTTAAGGCTGCTCCCAAAATGAGCATGAAGTGGATATGTACAAATCAAGGTGTAGACTGGTGCAGACATGGAGGTTCCTCCTTAGGTTTCACTTCAAGAGAACCTGCGGCACAGAATACAGTTGACTGATGGCCTCTACCTGCTACCCCAGGAGCACTGTGGCCACACACCTCCCTGTGCTGCTCCTAGTACTGAACTGGGTGGAGGTGCTAATGCTGGCTCGTTCCTGCCCCATGAAGGATTTCTCTAATGGGCAACTTTGACTCAACATTTTCACAGCTTCGTTCCCCATTTTCACAGCTACAGCATTCTCAGAACCGTGCTGTAGTCTGACATTCTTCCTAAACAAGTTTTCCCCCCCACTCTTTGTTCACCCACATGGGACCTCACTCGCAGTCTGAGGTTCTCTGCCCATTTCTGCTCCTTCACCTTTTTTCCTTTACAGACACTTCTCCAGTACTTTTTAATAAGTCTGATTCTTTAGTCCCATCTTGGTGTATGTGTCTCAGGGAATCTGAACACGGGGTTTCTGAAATTGAGTAACAGACTCTACTCTGCATTTAAAATTGCTCCTCCCCCTTGAATTCTGAGAGAATGCTCATTTTCATTGACTTCCTTTCCTAGGGATAACTGTCCCTCTTCCCAGTTTCCATCGAGATAATCCCCTCATGTCACTCCCATTCTTCAAATATGCAAACTGACTCCTGATTGATTCTTGGTACCTGTCCTCCAGACAAGTGAAGGCAAGACAGTATCCCAGAGAAAAACAGTGTGAGGCTACTCTGAGATCCCCACTGAAGAAAATTCGCCATTCACAGATTTCACCAACAAAGAAGAAAATATTTCACCTTCTCCATTGGCCAAAATGCTGTGCAGCCATAAACCTTCATATAAAATTTGAAAACAAATGGCAAGAAGCTTCTCTTTTGTAGAAGTTAGGATTTTTGCATTCTTTGTTTAGGAATTAGTGTAACTGGGCAAATTAGGAGGTCTATCTCAGAGTGGTATACTAATATCCCTTGAATTACACTGGGCTTACATTCTTAAACAACCACTCAATGCAAAATTTCAGTGATCCGAATTAAACTGTCCAGAAAATACACATCCTATATACTTCATAATATCGAAAGCCATTTTTAAAAATGGTTTTATAAACATTCTCTTTCTCTTTGTATCTCAGCAGCACAGTATGCATAGTTTTATATTAAAAGCACAATGGTCTACCTATTGAAATAATATGTAAATGAATAATCCAATTATCTTCCTCCACCAATTCTCCCAAACACAACCCCAGAAAATCAAGAGAGTAAAGATCCTTGACAAACAATGAAGAAAAACTAACTCTAAGGTTTTGAGCTTGGAAAAATGGAAGAAACAGGGAAAGTAGGAGGAGCCACTCAGGGGCTGGAAAAAGGTATAGTAAAAATAGTCTTTGAGACTCAGACAGAGGATCTAGACAAAAGTGTTCAATGAGTGGCTGGGAGATTCAAAGGTAAGCTTAAGAGAGAGTCTGGGCCTAATGCTGGTGGGGTAGGCAGAATAAGTCCCCAGAAAAAGTCTACATTCTAATTTCTGAAACCTGAAAATATGTTACTTGACATGACAAGCGGGAATCTACAGACATGATTAAGTTAAAGATCATTTGATAGGAACAAACTTGGGTTATCCAGATGGGCCTAATGTAAACCCAAGAGTCCTTGTAAGAGAGAGGCAGGAGGGTCACAGTAAGGGAAAAGGAAACGTGACTACAGAACCAGGTGTGGTAGTCAGAGAATAACATTTCAATATGCTGTGCTCTTGGTTTGAAGATGGAGAAAGAGACCATGACTTAAGGAGTGCAGGTGGCCACTAGAAGCCAGAAAAGGCAGAAAAACAGATTGTCCCCTTGAAACTCCCTAAGCAACATAGGCCTGTCAATTTCTTGATTTTTAGCCAAGTGAAATTGATTTTGGACTCTGGACCTCCAGAACTGTAAGAGAATAAATTTGTGTGGTAGTAATTTGTTTCAAGAGCAATAGGGAAGTAATGTACATGGCAAAGGTGATTAAATTAGCCATCTTGCTGTGAATTAAGGTAGGTCCACTGTAATCACTGGGGTCCTTAGAAGGGAAAGAGAGGGGCAGGAGAGTCAGAGAAGGAGGTATGACTACACAAACAGAGATCTGAGCCATATAATCACTTGCTGGTGATCAAGAGCAAAGGAACATGGGCAGCCTCTAGAAGCTGCTGCAAAAGGGAAGGAAATGGATTCTCCCCTATAGCCCCAAGTAATAAAGCCCTGCTGACACCTTGATGTTAGCCCAATGAGACTTGTGTTGGACTTCTAATCTACAGAACTGTAAGGGAACAAATGTGTGTTGTTTAAAGTAGCGGCACCCAACCCCCCTGGTTCACGGACCAGTACTGGTCTGTGGCCTGTTAGGAACCGGGCCACACAGCAGGAGGTGAGCAGTGAGCAAGCAAGTGAAGCTTCATCTGTATTTACAGCTGCTCCCCATTGCTCTCGTTACCTCCTGAGCTCTGCCTCCTGTCAGATCAGTGGCAGCATTAGATTCTCATAGGAGCACAAACCCTACTGTGAACTGCACACATGAGGGATCTGGGTTGTGTGCTCCTTATGACAGTCTAATGCCTGATGATCTGTCACTGTCTCCCATCAGCCCCAGATGGGGTCATCTAGTTGCAGGAAGA